TTTCTGCTGAATTGAAATTTACAACAAAAACAAAACAGAAATAAGCAGAATTTAATGTGTAACTTAAAATAACCCGTCAGTGTGAAAAACCATAAAACTGACATTTTCTGATTTTTTTTTCCCCATAAAGAAACAAAAACAAAACGCAGTTTAAAAAGTAATATGATTTTTTTACCCTTTTTTTTTAAACTGTATTTTTTAAAATATACAAATGATCAATAAAATCAGTGAAGCAGACTCTGACTTTAATGTCAGGAGGACTTCTAAACAACACAATGAAATATTAGATGAATGAGCTGTAACTGGAAATAACCAGAGAAAGAGAATCAGTTGTTTGTCTTTTTATAATCTTTGGTATCTGAAAAATATACAGATCAAAATACACATAACCTCTGTAAAGGTTTTTATTTATTTATATATTACATTTAATATAATAATAAGAAGAAGAAGAAGAAGAAGAAGAAGAAGAAGAAGAAGAAGAAGAGGAAGAAGAAGAAGAAGAAGAGGAAGAAGAAGAAGAAGAAGAAGAATACAATGAGGGTTTTCTCGTTGGTGTCCTTCTGCTAGAATATGAATTTCTGGGGGATGATTCTTATTTTTTACAGGGCATGTGGCGGCTGAAGGCTGAACAGCTCCTCTGACGCATCATGTGAACTCATAACCTAAAATCTGCTCTCGGTGCAACTGCATGTGACAAACAGAAAAATGTCTTTTTAAAAATTTTATTTGAAAGAAATGAATGTGATAGACTGGTTACCTGTCCAGGTGAACCTGCCTTCACCCTAAGTCAGCTGGGATAGACTCCGCCCCCTAGTGACCCCAGTGAGGATGAAGGTGTAGAGATGATGGATGTTGATGTTCAGATATTGCACATGATTCCTTCATGAGTATAAGGACTGATATAAGGCGTCAACAGGAGTCATCCGATGTATTGAAATCACAGCTTTCTATCTTTAGTGAAGTTTTCTGAGCATCCTCTCTGAGCGTCTCCTCCTTCCTGCAGCCAGCTGCCACATCATCTATGGAGAACGGATCGGCCTTTTCTCCTCGTCGCCGTCTCTGGAGTCCCAGAAGTTCATCTGGGCCGTGGAGCGGATGCTGACCACCACCCCCCCACTGCTCTACCTGCCCCCCCTCCTGCTGCACTACATCAGCGCCCCCCTGTGGACGCAGCACGCCACCGCCTGGGACCACATCTTCAGCCACGGTAGGACGAGCCGCTTTGGAAAGGAGCTCTGATAGGGTGACGAGCCCAGGCGTGGATGCACTCATGCACTGTAAAAAACAAACAGTTATTATTTAAAGTGCAGCTGTGTCACAGAGGTCGGGCACATGAACTTGTTGTATTTTTATTTTCAGCTGCAGTCGCTGTTTGAATTCAAATCTGGAAAACAAAAAATAACAACAAACAGCAAACTGAAGGCACACCTGCACTGTAAAAATTACAAGTTTTTTCACTGTCATTTAAAAAACAACAACTATTTATGGTAGTTTTGTTAAACGACATCATTAGTGTCACTGACAAGCATCACTTTACAGGTTAAGTAAAATAAACATGACAGTTTGCATGGGCTGCAGGTGGATCAGTGGTTAGCACTGTGGCCTCACAGCTAGAAGGTCGCCGGTTGGCGTCCCGGTGAGGACACCCGGGATCTTCCTGCGTGGAGTCTCCATGTTCTCCCCGTGCAGCGTGGGTTCTCTCCGGGTTCTCCG